CAAATGCTATGCTGCCAGAGAGGACATGGAATGAATGAATGAATGAATGAATGAATGAGTATCTCTGAAATCTGGCTTTCTTTGAGACTCCTCAGTCCATCAAAGTTGGGCTACACATGTCTAGATTCTATCTGTAGTAAGAGGTCAAATTCTTTCTCAGAAATGTCCCTTGATGCCTAGGAGGCATATAGCATACAGAGTGGGTGCTGCTGCCTAACTCCACCTGCTGAACAGTTTCAACTCGGTCCCAGTCAAAAACATCCCCTTAGAAGGTCACTAAAAGATAATGGGCCCGCATTTACATATCACTCCTATAGGCACCCATCCATGCTGCATTCCATGCAACACTTACCTCCCACCAGATTCTCTCAAGGGAATCACAGAAACCCTAACCCAAAGGACTCTAATTTAATCCTTTCAGTTTGCATATGAGAGCTGAGTTGTAGCAAGGCAAAGAGGAAGCTCAGGCTCAAATGAGCCAGGCATGAGAAAGAATTCCTTTGCAGGATCTATCCTCCTCAAAGCACAATGTGGTTTACTTCATTATGTAATTGAAGGCCTACTTGAACAGGGTTATACTATGCAGGAAGCTATGACCATTAAAAAATCAGTAAGATCTAGTCTTCCTCTTCAAGGTGTTTGTAACTCAATGGTATAACCACATATTTATAAAATAAATAGGCATTTTCACATAGTATATTTGAGGGAGAAATAAAGTGCTCCGGCAATTTAAATCAAGGGTGTAAAAGAATAAATGTGACCAGGAAGAGCTCCAAGGAAAAGAAGGAATTGGGTTCATCCTTGAAGGCTCTATTCATGCTTGCAGTCTCAGCTGAATGTTTCCTTGTCGCAGAGACTTCCATGACCTTGCAGGCTGGGTTTGTGCCCAGGCTGTACAACTCCACAGCACCTTGATCTTTCTTTACTTTCACAACTGATTCATTATCTCCCATGTTTTTCTCACTGGAGCAAATTCCATGAACTCTCAGTATCTACCAGAGTACCTTCCACAGTATAGGTGCTCAGTAAAACAATGTGTGTGTGTGTGTGTGTGTGTGTGTGTGTGTGTTAAATGAAATGTTACACCCATATTAGAAAAGAATGTGCAAATGGAAATTTTCAGAATAGTTTTATGCAAAGGCAGGGAAGTGAGAAAAGAGCAAAAGAGAGAAGTGTCAAAGACAGATAGTAAAATAATAATAGTATCAACTAACATTTGTGAACTCCTTACAATGAGTTCCAGATGATTCACTCATTTCATCCTACCAACAACTCAAAGCGGGAGGACATATTGTTATTTCTGCTCATAGACAATGTAACTGGGGTAGAGACAGGTCAAGTACTCACCCATGATCACACATCCCAAGGTCATACACTAAAGAGCAACAGTTAGACTGGAATCAAGTGACTGATCTCAGAAGCTGAACTCTTCATCACCACCTGACACTGAATTCGGGAAAGAACTACAGACTGCGAAAAGAGAGAGAAGGAAGCCTAGCTTTGGTGTTTGAAAAAGTATAGGAGCATCTCCTCTTGAGAGCTAGCTTCTGGAAGGATGTAGCCCCATCTTAAAAGTAATTAAAAAGTGGTGGAAGAGCAGAGCAATGGACAAGTCCATGGACACAGAAACTTAGATAGCTCCCTATTTCTTCCGACTGTGCCTCACAACCTGTGGCCCCTTCTTTTATTTTCTAACTAGAGGCCCTATGCACAAAATTCATGCCGGGAGGAGGGGTGGTGTCCCTCAGCCCAGCCTGCACCCTCTCCAATCTAGGATTCCTCGAGGGATGTCTGACTGCCCGTTTAGGCCCAATCCCACTGGCATCGGGCCTAAACGGGCAGTCGGACATCCCTATCACAATCCAAGACAGCTGGCTCTCTACTGCTTGCCTGCCTGCCTTCCTGATTGCCCCTAAATGCTTCTGCCTGCTAGCCTGATCACTCCCTAACCATTCCCCTGCCAGCCTGATTGATATCTAACTGCTCCCCTGCCAGCCTGTTTGCCAACAACTTCCCTCCTCTGCCTGCCTGGTCACCCCTAACTGTCCTCCCCTGCAGGGCTGATCACCCCTAACTGCCCTCCCTTGCAGGCCTGGTCCCTCCCAACTGCCCCCGCCCCCTGCTGGCCACATTGTGGTGGCCATCTTGTGTCTGGTGGGGGCAGGATCTTTGACCACATGGGGGCAGCCATCTTGTGTCTTGGAGTGATGGTCAATTTGCATATTACTCTTTTATCAAATAGGATAAAGGACACTTATGGATCTTGAAAATAATTAAAAGCAAAATCTTTTTGCAAATTTTCCAGAAACAAATCAGTTTCACTAAAAGAGAGATGTTGACAGGAAGCCAGGAAGGCTGGTCAACAACCTTAATTGCTCTATCCAGTCACCCTTTAGTTAAGACATTATTAACTGAAGTAGCCTCTACCTTGTTTGTCCATGTAAATTTCTGTTTATCTTGCCTGAGATGTTTTCCCCAAAGCCTCAATAAAAGGGATGGCAGGGCCAGAGTAGAGAGTAGTTCTCCCACTAGAGTTGTACTGTCACATGGCCCCCCATATCGCCAAATTAAATTTCTTCAAGTCTCTTTTCATTTGTGTGCGGCCCTTCTCCAGAACCCAAACCCTGAATTGGAACCCTTTCCACTCAGGACGTGAAAGAGATTCCAACACAAATTACAACATGGGAAGTAGACTTCTTATATTTAAAATATTTTGCTGTAAACAAACTAAAGTACAAATTCTGTTTTGGGGGAAGGTTAAGATTTTCTTAACTTTTCTTTTACTCTTTAACCTAACTTCATCTTTTACTCCTTAACCTTACATAAATCAGGAAAAAATCCAGTTATAGAAAAGGTTCAACAACTAAAATCTCTCAACAGCAGTACTTATTCAAAACAGTTCAAAGAGCCTTCCAAAGCAATGTTTGCTTAAATAATTGTCTGATAGTAAAATAAGCCAATGACTTCTATGACTTTCTAGTTTCTGATAGATTTTGAAGGCCTGCCACATTCCAAAGTGGACACAGGTCACAATTGTTTGTTTTATAAAATATCATCCATTTTACTACCTGGCTGACTACAAAGGAGCCAGAGTCGGTGACTTATTCTTTTCATTTACTCCCCTTTTCCTTCAAACCACACACATGTGTTACACGCATCTGGTTGTAACCACAAGACAGTTATTCTTCTGCAGCCATCAATTCTTATTATCCTAAACAAATTCCTTAAATGCTTGCTAACCCTTTTCCTATGTCCAACCTATAAGATGATGGAAACAAAGCAAGAAAAATACGCTATTTTATTCCTCAATTTTTTTATGAAACAACATCATAAAAACCTCAGGGGAACCGAGGGTTGGCAAGCTCAGAGACTATCATGAATTTTACCTCCAGGAGCCCTATCAGATTCCTACAGTGAAGATGAGGGAAAATTCCTTAGTTCTTCCCTCAGAGGACTAGGGAAAGTAGTCATTTAGCAACATGCCCAGAGCTTTCTATTCTTAACAGGTCTTTCCTCAAAGGAAACCTAACTGGCTGAGGAAAGGGAAATACCCAACACAGTTCCCTCTAGCCTTCCTATTTCTCTAAGGGGGAAGATACAACAAAGTTGAGAAGCACAGCCCAGGGGCACAGGCTCACTAACTGACTGATTACTAAGAAATAACTTTAGACAAATTTTGATTAGATGCTAAATACAGTCCTTTCTAGTTTTCCAAGTACTTCCATGTATATTTTCTCACTTCAGAGGAGGTAGGCCTTTGGGAGATGATTAGGCCATGAGGATGGGCCACTCATTAATGGGATAAGTGCCCTGATAAAAGAGACCCCAAAGAGCTCTCTTGCTTTCTCTGCTGAGTGAGGCTACAACATGAAAATGGCCATCAGCAACCTGGAAGACAGAAGGCGCTGGAACTTGACCATGTTGACACCAGATCTTGGACTTCTAGCCTCCATAACTGCGAGAAATAAATTTCTATTGTTTATTAATAATCTGTCTATGGTGGTATTCTGCTATAGCAGCCAGAACTGACTAAGACACCCTTTAGTACTATTATAATTGCCATCCTAGGAATCATAACCAAGAGGATAGAGAGCCTCTTGTATTGAGAGAGAGAGAGAAAAAAAGATGGGGGGGGGGGGTGTGAAAAAAAACACAAAAATAACAACAACATGAACATTGCATTTTCCATTTATTTGGTCTTAATACTAAGAATATGGTCATTTTGATCCAAGAAATTAATCCTTTGGAGAAACCCATATATTCATTTCTCACTGAAAAGTTAAAATTTTTAGTCCATGCTTCCAGATCCTTTTCCAGTATCCAACACCTGGGACCTCTAGGCTCACACATAGTAGCCCCTCACAGATAAGAAAAAATCAGTTAACTGGACATATGAGCAAATTGTCAGAGATAGTTCGTTAAATCCTTATGCTCTCCCTCCTTCATTGCTGGTAAGAATGTAAACCGAAATGACTTCTCAGAGGGCAGAGAAGCCATCGGATCTAGAGACTTAAATGTGTGTCTTCCCTTTGACCTCCTGAGAATGGCACCCAAGGAAACCAGCCGGAAGTTAGACAAGGATTTGGGTGCCAGCACATGCTTTGCATTTCCCGTGATAATAAAGTTTAGCAAACAACTTTAACGTGTGATGCTGGAGGAATGGTCAACTATGAAGCAAAGAATATAAAAACCCTATCTCTAACATATGTTTCTTTGCAAGGGAAAATGCTCATGATAAAACACTAAATAAAAAGCTAAATTCAAAACCAAATAAACAGTATTAAAGCAATCTGTCTAAATATAATAATTAGATAAATTATTTTACCTTTACATAAATGCATATAAAAACTATAAAGATATATTCCAAAATGCTAACTGACCAAGATGCTTCCTCTGGCTATTAGAATTATTTTTTTTGTATTCCTCTTTATACTTTATCTCTTCCAAATGAACATATTTTTTTTTTTTCACCAAAAAAATGTTCTCAATGAATAGATTTTAAAAATCTATATTTGCCTTTTAGGAAACTGATTTGCAATATCTATAATATTCAAATCATCCCAAGGAGATGCCAACTCATTAAAACACAACAAAACAGAAAATTCTAATGAAACACATTCCAAAATAAAATTCCAGTCACCTTCAGGAGGCTCTTCCTTACATTTAACCTATTCACTCCCACTGTAATTTTGCCCACTTAACTTGCTTTGTAATCTTATCATTTGCCTTTGAATGACTAGGGTGTAGTATTTTTTAGTGCCTGACATAGGAATATTCAATGCATGTTTATCTAATCTTAAGTGCAACCATCCAGTGGGGTTTGGGAGCCATGTTTCATTATTCCTTCAAATGTTCTTGTTCCCCTTCTTCCTGCAACTGTTCCCCTTTGGCAAGCTCATGTTCCCTCCTCTTGGGCTCAGCTGGGGCTATTGGTCATTTACAACCCCTTCCCCCTCCCTGCCCCATGGCTAGACAGAGAGACTATTTGGGGAAAGGGGCTATGGGCCAAGCAGGGTCAAAGTCCTTCCCTAAAAATCAATCTGGTGATATCGGGGAAGAGAAGGTCTTCCTCCCACTGCACCACAGATGCCAGGTATGAGAAGGGGAACAGAGCATCTAGAGACCATCTTCTCCAGCCACACAGAGGAGGCCGTGTTGGCAGGGTGACTAAAGGAAACCAACAGGCAGAGGGAAGAAGGGCATGAATGAAGAGAGACAAGGCAAGGGCTGGAGAATGGTATCACAGTCCAGGAGAAGCACAGACCAATGAAGACACAGAGAAAGTCCTGAAGCCTTGAGACCACAGTTTTAGCCCTGCCACAGCTAAATCCCTTTCATTTAGCTTTCATTCTGTTCGTCCCAGCTACAGTGGGACAATAAATTCCCACTTATCTTAGGCTGATGTGGTTTGGGTGTCTATATTTGTAACTAAAACTATCCTGACTTCTTTATGTCTATAACATGTAATAGTAAGTGAGAATCCTTAAGAAATATAACATTTAAAAACCTATTTTGTTATTGAGAGTCTAGGGAAAGACCATGTCTGATAAGCTTACTTATTAGCACATCTGACAACATTTGAAAAGTTGCAAAGCTGATTGATACTGATGATAAAGTTGACCCCAGAAATCTCTCATAAAAAAATTTAAAGTGAGACAAAGTTTATAGGATCTATATATATAAAAAGCCAGCATCCATAGTGACCGGGACAATAGATGACCTGTTACTATGATGCTCACTGTGGCCAGTGAACTGGCCTGGTCAGGGGGTGGGGCTGGCTGGCCAACCTCCTGTAGCCCCTCCCTCCGGCCAGCCTACACCCAATGGGCCCCCGCCACCCTGATTGGCCCTCAGCCCCTCCCCTCACCTGGCCCCAGCCCAGATCAGCCCCCAGACCCCAAAGGGGCAAGGCAGGCTGGCCAACTTCCCATGGCCCCTCCCCCAGACCGCTGTCCCCGGGTCAGCACCCCCACACCATTTTGGGGCAGGGCCGGCTGGCCCACTGCCCACAGCCCCTTCCTATGGCTGGCCCTGCCCCCAATCGGCCCTCCGACCTCAATCAGGGGTCATGCCTGTCTGCCAATCACCCACAGGCCTTCCTCCCAGCTGGCCTGGCCCTGATCAAGCCTTGATTGGGGCAGGGTGGCTGGCCAACCTCCTGCCATCTCATCCTCCTGACAGGCCCACCCCTGATCTGCCCCAATTGGGGCCAGGCCAGTTGGATCCCACCCATGCACAAATTTGTGCACTGGGCCTCTAGTTGGGATATAAAATGTATATATTTTTTGAAGGGTAGCTTCTAAAAGGTGGTAGATTCTCTGCTCAAATAGACAATGCAAGAAAACTATTTAACATGCTCACCATTAAAGAACCAACTCAAAGGTCATTTCATCTCCGGGTCTCACCTGCTCTCAAGTTAGTATATAAAGGGCCCATATGGTACACAGAGATGTCAGACACAATTTTCCCATGATTTCACAGATCCCTGACTGAAGTGATTGTTTTTTAATCAAATTAGAAAGTTGTAATTAAGAAAAGTGAGGGAATATTCTCCAGCATACATTGTATGTAGACTGAAAAATTTTGCCTAAGCATTATTTTTAATATATATATATATATATATATATATATATATATATTTTTTTTTTTTTTTTTTTTCAGAGAGAAAGAAAAGAGAGAGTTAGAAACGTCAATGATGAGAGAGAATCATTGATTGGTTGCCTTCTGCACCCCATTACTAGGGAATTGAGCCTGCAACCTGGACATGTGCCCTTGACTGGAATCAAAACCGGGACCTTTCAGTCCTCTGGCCATCGCCCTATCCACTGAGCCAAACCTAAGCATTATTGATGACCCATAAACCATAAGATGAAATGCAATACCATGGGCAGGACACCTTAAGCTAATGGAGCTTGTAAATTAGAGGGCAATGTCTCACAGAGAACAGATTGAGAACTAAAATTACATATTAAAAATCCAGGTCGATCGGGCAGCCAACCAAAAAAGCCATTTAAACAATAATTAGAAGCTGAGTTCATTTGAGTTAGGACTTACTTGAAAGCTATATCTGGGTGTTGGGGGGGGGGGGGAGGAAACTCCGCATGTGCACTCACAGTGAGCCATGCTTCCATTCATTCATTCACCAAAACATCAAACACGAGGTATGCAACTGTGTGCCAACCGTAGAAGACCTGGGAATAAACAAGGTGGGCGGGCCTGCCCCCCATGCAGCTTACAGTTTATAAGGAAAAGCAAACAGTCCACAAGACCTTTAAAAAATAAATAAATAACAGAAGTATCTACTTCAGCTGGTAGGTGGTTCAAGCAAGTACATTGAGGCTGGCTCCTAGGGGAAGAAATACTAATTGGATATGAAAATGGTGAGAGATGAGCATCCCAGACAGAAGGAAAAGCAAGGGCAAAATCCCTGAGGGGAGGAATAGGGTGTATTAAAGAGAAGTCTAGGAGGAGAGATAGCACAGGGCAGCTGGGGAAAGCCTGGATTCTGGGAGCCAGGGAAGCTGGGCTTGAATCCCAGCTCGGCTTGGCGTTTACTAGCTGTGTGACCCTGAGCAAATTAATTGACCTCTCTGTGCTTCCTATTTAAAATAGGAATAACTCTATATAATAAAAGAAGAATATGAAAATTAGGCCAGGACATCAGGATGAGTTCAGGAGGCTGCGTCATGACCAGCTCAGAGAACACCCCCAGCCCCAGCAGACACATACCACACACCAGGGCTTAGGGTGGGCTCTGAGAGGCCGTGGCCTCAGCCCCAGCACCGCCCAGATCCAAGGCCACTCCCACTGGGGGTCCGAGGGCAGGCACACCCATGCAGCCTGCCCTGGAGCCTTCCTGCCTTCAGAGCAAGGCCCCAGCGGGAGTGCAGTGCCGCACAGCTCCCAGGCCACTCCCGCCAGAGGTTCGAGGCCAGGCACCCTACGCCACCTGCCCTGGGAGCAAGGTCCCCAGCAGACCATGGACCCACCCAGGGGGGCGTGCTCTGAGTCACACCACAGCCAGGACCAAGGCCCCCAGCGGACCTGCAGACCCACCCAGGGGGCATGCTCCGAGCTGCTGTGGCCAGACTGTGGCTTAGGCCTGCTACCCATGGGGCATTCCCTGAGGGCTCCCAGACTGTGAGTGGGGGCAGGCTGGGCTGAGGGACACCCACCCAGTGCACAATTTCGAGCACTGGGCCTCTAGTACTTTGTATAAAATGGGTTTATTAGAATAGTGCCTGGTGTGTGGGAAAGTGTTTACTGATTATTGTGGTTGGAACACAGAGATAAGGGGAGAGTAGCATGAGGCTGAGGAAGGACAGCTGGGGCCCATCGCACGGGGCCTTGGTGAGAAGACATTTTAAGAAGGTCTTTTTAAAAGATCCCATTGGCCATAAGAAGGACAACTGACAGGACTGTAGACATGCCAGCTAGCCAGTAAGAAAGCTTCTGTGGTGGGTGGCTGAAGAGAAAGAAAAGATCAATGTAAACAGGGCTGAAGCCATGGAAAATGTTGATCTGACATCATTGCTCTGTATGTTTAAGATTTCAACTGCATCACTAATAAAAAAATAAAAATAAAAAACTTAAACAGGAAAGCCAAACACTGACCCCGTGATCACTCATTACTCTGATCCCTATTAGAAAAACAGAAGGATATTCTATAACCTCAGAATGTTAATAGGGGCACGGGAAATACTATAGTCCAGGCATCGTCTGTGACACTTTGAATGGATGAATACTTGAGGCAAAGGCTCAACACAAGGACCTGCTCAGCCTGACCTTAACGGAGCATAAACCAAAATGACTAAAGAGATGTTTCAAGATCCCAGATAACCTATTTCCTCCAGGTCTCGTTCCTTTTGAGGAAAATAAATAAATAAATAAATAAATATAAATATATATATATGTGTGTATATATATATATATATATATATATATATATATATTTTTAAATGAATGGCTGCCAACAGGCCTGACCCACATCTGCAGCAGGAAGGCGCCTGTCCACTGAGCCAAACCACCGTGCGCACGCTCTGCTGACCAGGTAAGGGCAGCCTCTCTGCAAAGAGGGAAGAGCACAGGTTTGGCAGTCAAGGAGCTCAGACCCAGGTTGAGGTCCTGGCTCTAGCACGTGCTGGATATGGGACCCTGAGTAAGTTGCTTAACCTCTCTCTAAACCCCAGGATCCGCATCTGGAAAGCAACTGAACCTGACTCCACAGTTGTGTTGAGCAAGACTTGATATACTATCTATAAAGCATGTCTCACAGATTCTCATCCAGAGGAAGCACTTAGTAAGTTGCCACGGTGGTTACTATACATCTTTCGTTCCTGCAATGCCACAAAACTGGGGATTAGACAAGGCAGAGATAGAAAACACTGCCTGTACATCAGTCAGCTGTTTGGGGAAGCTGGCGTATCGAGTAATAGTGATGATACTCCTACCCCACGCCTGGGTACTTCCACTTCTAAGGGCACACCCCACTGACGTGCAGCCCAGGTGCACCGAGAGACAGGAATGAGAGAGCTCACAGGAGTGTCACTCAAAATAGCCCAAAACTGGCAGCAACCCAAATGTCCGTCAACAGTAGAATGGAAAACTAAATGATGAAATGATGGTATATTTATATAACGGAATAATACACGGAGCCAAAAAACAGAGAAACCACAGCTACACTCAACAAAGGGGAAAACTCTCAAACCCAATGCTGAATGAAACAAATCAGACACAAAAAGAACATACTAGATGATTCTATTTGCATAAAGTCCAGAAAATGGGAAAATTGACTCTGGTGTTTAAGGATGCATACTCGGGTGGTACAAGAGCAAAGAAAAGAGATTACCATGAAGTCAGGGGAATGCCTGGCTGTGGGGGGAAGAGTGGGGTTGTGAGTGGGATGGAGAACACGGGGGCTTCTGGGTTTCTGGCCCTTGACCTGGAGGATGGTCACATGTTTGCTATACAGATTAGTTCAGCTGTACGTGTTGGCTTTGTATGCTGCCTGTATGTATGCCATCATCTTCAATGGTTGAAAAACTAATCATTCTACCTGCTCCAGCTAACCCGTGCCTCTTTTCAAGAGTGTTGGAGGCTTGAGGAATGTGGTCTCTGCAACGAGGACCTTTCTGAACGCCCCCGTCTGCTCGAACTAAACCCCTAAGGGGGTGGCAGGCAGGGAGGATGCGGGAGATGTGAGGAGGTAGAACCCACCACCGAGGACTGTCATGGTGCTAGCACTGTCCATCCCAGTCTCAAGGGATATTCCCGGAGTCAGCCCTTGTCTTGTGCCACTTCTGACACATGTAATTGGCACCAGCAAGAAGTAAAGAGCACGAGGAGGAATGCCACAGGGACTGTTCACTCAACATATACTAAGTGCCAGGCCACAGCGACTGTCCCAGGGATGGGTATGTGACATAAGCAGGGCCAAAGTCCTTCCTAAAATCCATTCTCAGGGGAGAGAAGCCCTTTCCCCTGAGGCTGCCCACCTGCAGGAGGAGTTGGGAGCTTCTGGAGGCCCCTCTCCCCAGCCATGCGGAGTAAGCCACATCTGCAAGTGGACAGAAAAAAGCAGCCAGAGAGGGAAATAGTACTGAAAGTTGCAGAGAGGTGAGGCAAGGAAAACAGTGCCTCATGCCAAGAGGAACAACGGCCAGTTGAAGCAGAGAGAGGGTTTGGAAACTTTGAGTGCCCGGCCCCACCACAGATGCCCTGATTTCGGCAGCCTGACCTCGATTCTGTCCTTACCTTCTGTGGTGAGACGATATGGGTCAGATTTGGTGCTCAATTCTAATAACGCAAAGGCAAATAATATGCAGGGCTTTCTCTTAAGGATATCACAGTTTAATTAGGAAAACAAACATATCAAGAGATAGTCAAACAGCATCAGGAGAGTATATGGAGGTAGCGCATCTTAACCAGACTAGAGGAGGAGAGGGAAGGGTGAGGGAAAGATTCTGGAGGAAGTAAGCTTGGGCTGAGCCCTATGGAATGCTTTGGATTCATCAGGGAAAAGGTGAGGCAAAAGCGTGGTCTACGAAATGAGTGGGGATGGCGAGGCAGCTAGAACGAAAGTGGGAGCGAGACAAAGAATGTGTGGGACGTGAGGACATCTTGGTATTGCTGGAGGGAGGTGGGGTTGCCCGGAGCATCCAGGAAAGTGGGTCATAAAAGAGCCCAGAGCCAACGAACAGAGTCTGGACTTTGTCAGGTACGCAAAGGGAGCCACCTTTTGAAAGCTTTAATCAGGGGGAAACAGGGTCCAATTTCCCTTTTAGAAAAATCAAGGAACTAAAACCAGTTTGGTTCAGTGGACACAGCGTCCTGGGTCCGATTCCTGTCAATGGCATGTACCTTGGTTGCAGGCACATCCCCTGTAGGAGGTGTGCAAGAGACAGCTAATCGATGATTCTCTCTCATCAATGTTTCTCTATCCCTCTCTCTTCCTCTATGTAAAAAAATCAATAAGAAATACTAAAAAGAAAAATCAAGGAGATGTGTTCTGAGGCCAAAGTCTAACAGAAGAAATACATTCTCTCTCCTTTCCTCTAATTCCAACAGCCTGAATGTGCATAACTTGAATCAGCCTAAAAGTTTATTTCTTGCAGTTGGCACCCTTCAGAATGTAAACAACAGGGACAGCTTACGACCAGAGCAGCAGACCAACTGACCTGGAGACATATCAAAGTTTTATTTCAAATAAATTAACAAGGCTTTTTCATGCCTGTAGGTGTCCAATATTATATTTGGGGCAATCTGTTTTGACTTTACTATGTTTTCTCTATTAAGGACAACATTAAATATTATCACTAAGAAGATATATATTGATAGACACCTAGTGTTTAGCTCAAAGTGAAAGAAATTAAAACATGCTAAAATATGTTGGGGGGAAAAAAAAACTTAATAAAATAGCACGAATACCCAGGAGAAGTTTTCTGCAGGTAATAAAGCACTGGTACCTCAGCAGGGTATCAAAATCCCTTAGGAAGAATAAAGTATTTCCTGAAATTAGGTAGCCACATTGCCTCTAAGATAAGGCTACACAAACCTAGTGGGGGAATTACTGAGGTTTGGGTTTTGTGGGGGTTGTTTTAATCTAACTAATTTACAGATCATATATTTTGAGCATTTTAATTGCCTTGGGGAAAGTTTTCTCTTTAATGGCATGCATAATAGTCTGACAACTGCCCACAAGGTGGCACCAAACTCATGCCCAGAAGACAGCCAAGAGATACTTTTTTAAATCCTAAAGAAGGCATTCCAAATACTCAACAGACAGCTTCCTTTATAGCTTAGCCTCAACCATGAGCCAGATTTATTTATATTAGCTTCTCCTATCTCTAGATGATACAAAAGGTAAAACTTATTGCTGCCAACAAGAAAACTTTTAATATCCACATACCTCATCTCAAGATAGAACTGTTCTACTTCTGTGCAAAGTTTTCAACAAGGGGGGGGGGGGGGGGGGGCCGGGGCCGGCGGGGGGGGCAGGGGGGAGTAGTGTGTAAGACCTAAAAATAAATGTCCCATTTCTGGGGAGTAAAAATCCCGAAACGAATTTAACACACTGAATCACACCAGAAGCTGGTCCCTCTCTCCTTGTTTTAAATTTCATTTAATTGAGCTTAGACGAGGCCATATAAATCTTTAAAGAACTGAATGTTATTTAAAAACTGAAACAAATCTGCAATTAATTCTTAATGTAACAGGTCATGGTTATTTTAAAAGGAAAAGATCTATTATTGGAGACCTTCTCCCTGCTCCCCTTCCTGCCCCTTCCCCCCACCCCCTCCCCCAGCCTCTCCCATCTTACAAAGGCTGTTCTAAGGTGAACTGGTCTAGGCTGGCATGGCTCTCTGGGAACCAATAATGAAAGTCATTCTGGGAACAGGCACAATGTATTACCACTGGGCTAGGTGATATTTCTGCCAATTAAACACAGAATGTGCGGCCCAAGCCCCTGGGAGCCAAGGCTTCCATTTTGAAAAAGCAGAGGCTGTGATAGATGAATGAACCTCAAAGGGCCCAGCTTCCTGTCAGCATGAGAAGAGAGAGCTACCTGTTAGGAAGAAACGTTTATCTGCTCCCGTTTCCAACATCCACCACAGACAAGAGTGACCACCTGTGAAGGCTGGTGGTCCGAGCTCATCTGCCTCTTAGGAAAAAAAAAAAACTTAAAAGAAAAGAACAAGGCAGTCCTGGCTGGTGCTCTCAGTGGTTAGAGCATCAGCCGCAGACCGGAGGGCTGAGCGTTTCATTCCTGGCCAAGGGCACGTACCTCGGTTGCAGGTCTGACCCCTGGCCATAGTTGGGGCACAGGTGGAACGCAACCTCTAGATGTGTCTCTCTCGCATCAATGTCTCTCTTTCTCTTTTATTTATTTATCTTGATTTAAATATATATACAAGAAAAGAACAAGGTAGATGAATCCCATTCTCAGACCACTAAGCTACCTATAACCAAGCATCATCCCCCTGGACATGCCTGAGAAGGTTCCCTCATCCTATCAGCAATCCTGAATCATTTGTCCAGCCTCCAGGTCATGGCTCCACTAAGGAAACATCCTTAATTGCAACCCCTTGGCTTCTAAATATTTGTGACTTCTGAAAATATAAGGTATAATTCCTATTCACTTATTTCTGTTTCCTAAGCAAGGCATCACACATCCTTAGACCTTGTGATCTCAGGGACAAGACATTGGGGGAGGTTCATAAAGGTGCCTCCTGGCAGACACGCCCCCAGGCTGGCTGGGAAGCAGGGAGGCAAAGGGAAGCCAGGATGTGGGTGCTCCCTGGTCACTCTGCATTCTGCAGCCCTGCCATCCAGCTTCTCCTCCACGTGAGGAGGAGCAGAACAGCTTCTCACAACGCATCTCTCCTCCAAGCAGCCTAAGCTCGGGCAGCCTGGCAGACACTGTACCTCCAATGCTCCAGACCTCTTTAAAAATGCTGCAGAAGCCCTTTCCTTACCTTGATTTTTAAACCAAAAATACTGCTTACAGACACCACAGAAGTGAGAACAAATTCGTGCAGTAAAATGCTATAATCACAAAAGGCGTTATCATTTCTCTTTAATTCACTAAGCAATGTATGGAGCGTTAAGACTTTAACCAGGGAATGGCATAGAGTTTCAGCGTTAGAATCCATAATAAAATAAAATATCCCTAGTGATGCTGCTTTTCATTTCCATTCACTAGACAATTGAGTTTCAAACTTTTTCCTCTCATGGCACACATAAACTAACTACTAAAATTCTGCAGCACACCAATAAATATATTTTTTGATGATTTGACAAAACCTAGGTACAATTTTGATTCATTCACACCGGATGGCTATTGTTGTTTTGGCTGATGTTATTTTTATTTTTTTAATATTATTATTATTTATTTATTTATTTATTTATTTATTTATTTTTTTGGCAATGTAAGGGAAAAGAGGTCAGTGCCCCTGACTAAATAGTCAGGTATTGCATGTTTTAAAAACCCTTGTGGCTCATCGTTTGAAAATCGCTGCCCTAGACATTTTCAGATGCCAGCTACTGTGGTAAGCACGTGTCGGTTTCCATTTTAAAATGTATTTCATAACTGCAAACTTCCAAAGGACCCATGGCAAATCCATGAGTGTGCCCTGCCACGAGGCTGGGACAAGCACCAGTATGGACACAGACATAAAGATGAAGCGGGGGACCTACCTCCATACACACCTGCAAAGTATGCTCCAGGTACTACCAGGAAGGAGGCAATGACACACCCATGGATTCTAGACCCCACCTTCCTTAGAACAGTCCTTAACTGAAGAAAGAGGACTAAAATGGAATACAAAACTGAATAGAGTGGAATAGGGAGAAGTCATGAAGAATCTGAGAAATGTTCCCTCCTTTAGCTCACCAAGGAAAAACGAATTATCTAAGAAAGAGGGTTTTTACTCTGACAAAGTTCAAGCTCTTCAGCCTGTCTTTGCCTGATCTTCCATTGGCGAAGCCCTCAGATCTCATTCTCTCTCTCTCTCTCTCTCTCTCTCTCTCTCTCTCTCTCTCTCTCTCTCTCTCTCTCTCTCTTTCTCTCTCCACACACCCTAGACTGTTACTTAGAAGCTCCACAGCCAACGTTTTCCCACTAGGCTGTAAATTCCATGAGGACAGGGGCAGGGGCTTCACCCTGCTCATCACTGTGTCCCCAATGCCTGAAATGTAATAAGCACCTGATAAATAAATGTCACATTACAGACTTTCACTTTTTAAATCATTGACTTTCTCCCCCAAAAGATGTTAAGCTCATCAAGGACCAAAAGTGGCTGGTGTCCAGGAAGTGCACCAGAAATGTTCGCTGGATAAATAAACAGCAAACATTAGGCCACAAGACAAGTTGCCTAAATTAAATTATTGCTCCTTGTTGTAAAGTTGTGTTTTTTAATCATAAATTTCCTCCTTCTTCCACAAGTCTTGTCCTCGTTAGCGTTGCAAATTCTGTTGTTTGCATTCCAAAGCCACAGCATAATGCCAGACTAAAGAATTCAATAACAACAAAGAAAGGATTACTTATTTCAATACCCTTATCTGTTGAAATTTAACATTTTTTTCCCCCCAGAGAATACACGTCTGATCCCTGGCTCCTAACCCAGCTACACTTGTGTTCCTAGGACTTACCAGAATAAACAGGCAGAGGCAGGCAGATGGATATTCCAAATATCATGTAAAACAAAATATCCTTTTACATTTGTAAAATAAATATGATTTCATTGCTCATATCTCCAGGATAAAGCGGAAAAAAGAAAAAGCAAAGAAAACAAACATAAGAAAAGGACCCAAGGCCTCTCAGAATGTCTAATAACTTAGGTCAGCTATTTTCAGCCAGCATGCTGCAAGAATTTTAACAACGTGCAATACCTGACTATTTAGTCAGGAGCATTGACCTCTTTTCCCTTATATTGTCAAATTAAAAAAAAAAAAAAAAAAAAAAAAAAATGACAACAGCCAACATAACAACAGCTTTCCAGTGTGAATGAATCAAAATTATCTCAATATATTTTTTGGTGTGCGGCAGAATTTTTAGTAATTAGTTTATATGTCCCATGAGATTAAAAAAAAAAAAAAAAGGTTCAAAATTGCTGACCTGGATTAAACTGTCCACTTAAGCCCTGGAGCACAATCAAGGTTCTACTGCCCAGACAAGTGCCCTTCCCTTGCCTCATCCTCCCCTTCCCACTCCCCCTGTCCCTCCCCCTCTCCTTTCTCTCTCCCTCCTCCTCTTCCTCTTTCCACCCTCCCCATTAACACACTGAGGGAGCCTGACAGGAACAGGCCTTTATAGCACACATTGTAACCACGTGTCTGCCTCCAATGAATGCCTGCATGGTAGCTCAGATTGGAGAGCCAGGAGCTGTCCCCCACTCCACTCGCTACCCCGCCCCTCACACCAAACCTCAAGAAGTGACAAGAAGAAAATGCTATCTTTTAATAAAGGATATACCCTGACACCAAATACAATGCATTTACTACAAAAATGGATTTAAGTTATCCCCTCAGTAAAAAAAAAAAAAAAAAAGTTTATTTTCCTTTCATAAAGTCACCCCATCACACCACGGACCCTAAGCAAAAATAAAACAAAAAGCAACAAGCAAGACAAACAAACTCATAGACACAACACAATGGTGGTTACCACAGGGGAAGGAGGGTGGGAAGAAAATGAAGAGGGTATAGATGGTCAAATATATGAACGAAAGGAGACTAGACTTGGTGGTGGACATCCATTGTTGTTCTATAAAGTGGTACACCTGAAACGTATATGATGTTATTGGCCAGTGTTACCCCAATAAATTTAATTATTTTTTTTTTAATAAATCAGAACTGGAGCATTTTCACTAAATTAGTTCATCCCATGATGCCCTGGTGAGATGGGTCATTCACTCAACAAAGACTGAGGGCTTACTAGGTGCCAAAGGTCATTACACTTAATCTTCTCCTGATCTGTTAGGTATTTTCATGACAGGTCCATGTATTCCCAATTCTAAGCATAGTGCCTGTTACACGAAAGAAAAAGAGATGTATAACCGATCTTTGTTTGATGTGTCAGGGGAATCGTTATGGGATATGTCAATGAAAAACTAAGGTATCGCTTTCCAATGTGCATGCTCATTCTCAAGGAGGCCATTTACAGCACAAGTCACACTACCATGATCCAGTTTACATTCTCCCAAAACAATGAAGTTTGAATACAGGTTTGACTAAATGTATTCTGTTCAATCATCTAATCAATAACTTCTATTGAACATCTACTTTATGCCAGCTTGGAGACATCAACAGTAAAAAAATAAAAATAAAAATAAAAAGCAAGCACAGCCTAACTCTCATGGAGCTTACAGTGTGTCCAGAAGAGAAAGCATTCAGTCAAACATCACCCATAAAAGTCGCAGTGGCTTACCAAAGTAAAACACAACTAAAGTCTGGATGTGGTGTGACCAGGAGTCTGACTCCAAACTCAACATCCTCCTGCTCTACTGCAGATGCCTCTAGTACAGTGGTTTTCAACCTTTTTTTATCTCATGGCACACATAAACTAATTCCTAAAATTCTGCAATCTGACCGAATGAAATAGGTATAACTTTGGTTCATTCACACTGGACGCTAATGTTGTGCTTGCTGTTGTCATTTTTTTATTTGACAATCTAAGGGAAAACAAGTCAACTCCCCCACACTAAATAGTCAAGTATTGCATGTTTTAAAATTCCTTATGGCAAACAGGTGGAAATTGCTGCTCTAGCAGAATGTCCTATTTGGAAAGATTCTGTTAAAAACAGCTATTATCTGTTCAAGAAACATGGCATTATTCTGGTTTTATCAGCAAGTCAAACTTCCCATATTTGCCCATTCTCCCAGAAAGCCAAGGTTCCTGGTACTCACTCACATTTGGACAATGTCTTTATTTTTTTCAAATAAAGATCTGTCTTGTGTGTTTGGTTTTCATAGTGTGAGAGTTAATTTTCTAAACTTATGTGTCCTAGTCTTCTGTTTTAATATCAAAACTGAAGAGAAAATGAAATATGCCTTATAGAAGAAGTCTGCACGTATTTTCTGGTAAACAAATGGGCATGGCTCTATTTCAATAAAACTTAATTCATAAAAACAGACAAACAACCATATGTGGCACCCAAGTTGTAGTTTGTCAACCTCTTCACTAAAGGTCAAAATCTATTAATAACAATACAGTAACTTTGGGGTGTATTATAAAAAGATCACACTGGAAACTGGCGTTGTACAAGCTGGACACCTAGAGATCACAAGAAGGGAGGTGGGTTGCCGAAACCAATTTGGCTTCAGGGGATAGAGTGTCGGCCTGCGGACTGGAAGGTCCCAGGTTCGATTCCGGTCAAGGGCATGACCTTGGTTGCGGGCACATCCCCAGTGGAGGGTGTGCAGTTTCTAACTTTCTATCCCTCTCCCTTCCTCTCTGTAAAAAATCAATAAAATATATTAAAACACACACACACACACACACACACACACACACACACACACACAGAAGAAGGGAGGTGGGGCCTTTTCCTTCCCATTGGCTCACTGCTCCTGTGGGTGTAGCCCAGCCGTGCTTCCTCCCGTGGCAGCATTTCTTTCCTGCTGAGGCTGCTAAATCCAATAAACAGTCTTTTTGTGATCAGCCCCATTGTGTTCCCCTCAGAGACCACAATCCCAGCGTGACTCTTTCTCAAGTCCAGGTCTGAGCTTCCTTCCCCTCACTTGAGCTCAGAGGCTCCAACACTAACCAGTACATCAGCCTGGTGGTCCCACCTCTCACAGTCCTGGGTTGAGCTCAGAGGCCTCAGCACCAGGCATCATCTTGGAAATGTGAATTCAGCCCCACAGGGTCCCTCTTCCAAGCTTCTACATTTTAGTGAGCCCAATACTAGGTGTGAAATGCCTCCTGTAGTTGCTACTTCCATGATACATTAGTGTTCTTTTAATGCCTTTTCAGTTCTTCATTATCAAGTTGATAACTTTTTGTTGTTGTTGTTAATCCTTACCCAAGGATATCTTTTCCATTGCTTTTTAGAGAGAATGGAAGAGAGGAAAGGAGGGGAAGAGAGAGAGAGAAACTTCGATGTGAAAGCGACATATAAATTGGTTGCCTCTCACAGGAGCCCTGGTCAGGGCCGGGGAATCAACCTGCAACCCATGTTCTATGTGCCCTTGACCAGGAACCGAACCTGTGACCCTTCAGTGTGCAGGCCAATGCTCTGGCCAGGGCCAAGTTGATAATTTTTAATATTAAATTCTCTCTGTTAAAATAATTGGTGTAGCTTCTGTCTCCGGAGTCAACCCAGACTAATTCAAACACAGTCCAGCAATTTCACAGTCACTCACATCCTCATTTGTGTTTCTTGAGCACTATGAAGTGGACACAGAATTCTGTGTTTTACTTAAAATTAAATTGCTTCTCTCAAATACTCCAGCTGCTCCTGGCCTGCCTCTTCAAGAAACTTCTCTTCCCCAGAAATTCCTTCTACCCTTTGCTTCTCCTCCAGTCTCTTTAGTCTTCCTCCTCAACTCCTTCTCCTAATTCTCCATCACAAAATCCCAAGGACCCGTCTGCCAAAGAGGATGAGCCTCAGGGGTTAGCAGAGCTGAGTCTAGAGTCCAGGGTATTTGGACTTCCTTCCTCCTGCCAAAGATTATAAAATGAAACACTCACCCCAAACTGAAATGGGAAGAAACCAGCCAGGCATGAGACTCTGGGACTCCAATATCACCAGACTCCATGGGCAGTGTTGCAAGAGGAACAGTTAGAGAGGAAAAGGGAGCTGTGGGGACTGCAAAGTGTGTGCCCTGTCCAGATGTCAGAGCTTCAGCTTTTCAAGAGAGGCCAACAAAAAAGCAAGCAATATTTTTATGCAAAGTCTCCAGGTTTTAAACATTGGCTTAATATTCTTTAATATTCTGTGGAGGTTAAACGAAATATGCCCCATCCTGCCTGAATGCCTTGTTTGCTACTACTGTCCTGTAGCAGCTCTAAATCCATTCAATATATTACATATTCTTGACAAAGATTTGATGGTTAATAGTATTTATTTTTCATCCTGGATGGGTAGCTTAGTTGGGTTAGAACATCGCCATGAAACACCAAGGTTGCAAGTTCAATCTCTAGTCAGGGAACATACAAGAATCAACCAGTGAATGTATAAACAAGTAGAACAACAAATTGATGTTTCTTTCTCCTTTCCTCTCTCTCTAAAATCAATCAATAAATCAAAAATTTCAAAATAAAAGTGTTTTTTAAAAAAAACAAAACTATTTTTCAATAGTTACCTACAGAGCTCTGAATTATATCAGCAAACCAAAAACAGAATTTTTTTCCTGCCACTTTTCCAAATACCATCAAAGGAGAAAAGAAAAAAAGCAAGTTAAGAGTTGAGTAACACAAGATATTACTTGATTTAAGCCTTTAGAAAATCTGGGATTTTATAATATTAACAGAAGAAAATAGCTCTCTAAAGCGAAGACTTTAGTTTATTTCAGCAGAAGGTGGTAGTGATACATTATTTTTAAAGTAATATTTACAGAACAGTTTGTTCTAGAATTCCAAGTGACACAAATAGAGTAGGCCTGGTATATATACACCAAAATGGTGACAATGAAATTAGAGCTTGATCTGGTGGTAAATTACCCTCTGCTCATCTCACCAACACCTAAGGAGACACATCATATGAATAAGTAGACTATTTGGGTACCCATTAGGGCACACACCCACTTACCTCTCAACCCCTCCCCCCCATATACAATTACCCAATCTGAAAGAGAAAGACAAACACTAGCTCTATAATTACCAGATGTGAACTTAAAAATCATGCCCTTTTAAAAGCTAAGCTACATTTCCCAGCCACACTTTATCAGCCTCAGAGCAAACTTCATAGCATGATGCTTGCTGCCTAGAATGTCTACTAACACTGACAAAGTGAAATACACCAGCCCAGGGAACAAAGCAATGTCAGTACTGCTAGGGTCAGGGGTAGGTATGGGAAAAGGGGGTTACTGTCCTCTTTCTTATTACAAAATGCCCCTGTGTGTTATTACTACAGAAGGACTGAATTACAATTTCCCACAGCCAACTTGTTTTGCTTCACCTCCACAAAGTGCTTATTGTCAACTAGAGCAAGAACTGGCCTACCTGAAACCCACAACCTCACTCTCTAAGAGCCAGCAAGGAGTCAGAAAGGCCTCTGCAGAGTTTACACAGTTGGCACAAAGGCCATGCCCTAAAGATACCTTGGGGACCTATTGAATCTTTAGTCCACTGACTCTTACTTTTGATTTCAAAATTGACAGATCAGACCCGGGAAATTTCAGCGTGAAGACAAGTCAAAGGGACTTGGATAAGAAAAGGACATACTATCTACACTAATAAAAGGGAAATATGCAAACTGACCATCACTTTGTGACACCTACAAGCCAGTCAGGAGTGAGTATGCAAATTAACCTTACAAAGCTATTGGTGGCCCCACTCCCCAGCCTCTCCAGGCTTCTGGGCAGCATGCATGCAGGCACAGAGTGGCAGAGGGGGAGGGCAGGATGCCTGCTATGAAGGGGAGGGCGGGGGGGGGGGGGGGGGGGGGGGGAGGGTGGAGAGAGCTAAAGAAGCAGCAAAGACTGAAGGCTCTGGCCAGAGTGAAGACTTGGAAAGTGGCAACCAGGTGTCGGAGGAAAACTGGTGCTGGCAGCCAGGGGAAGGAAGGCCTATTGCACGAATCTTTGTACAATGGGCCTCTAGTATATTGTGAAATGCCAGAGCTAATAGTGGAGACACCGTATGTTGGAGAGAAGGAGATGGGTTAAAGAAATGAAGAGCAATGTATGGGCCCGTTGCTCAAAGTGGGCCTTAAAGTGCTGCTGAAACCGGTTTGGCTAGGTGGATAGAGCATCGGCCTGCAGACTAAAGGGTTCCAGGTTCAATTCCGATCAAGGGCATGTACCGTATTTTTCGGACCATAAGACGCACTTTTTTTCCCCCAGAAGTGGGGGGAAAAAGTCCCTGCGTCTTATGGTCCAAATATAGCCTACACATATACTTTAAAAAAAAAGTTTTTTTACTTGCCCGGCTCTGTGTGGTCTCTGTGTGCTTGCCTGGCTCTAAAATGGTTCTAAATGCTGCTGTTTACTTTACAGGGTTGATTACATGTGTTTATGACTGTGATGTTGGGTTTTAATGCACATAAAATATTTTAGGACACTATTTGTTTCAGAATCTTTTTTTCTTCATTTCCCTTCTCTAAAAACTGGTGCATCTTATGGTCCGGAGCGTCTTATGGTCCGAAAAATACGGTACCTTGGTTGCGGGCACATCCCCAGTGGGGGCTGTGCAAGAGGCAGCTGATCGATGATTCTCTCTCTTCAATGTTTCTAACTATCCCTTGCTCTTCCTCTCTGTAAAAAAATCAATAAAATATATTTTTTTTTAAAAGAGAGAGAGTGCTACTTGTTGGAAGGTGGAAAGAGACTGAAGCTAAACAAGGATGGGCAGGACAGAAGCAGGCCTCAATAGAAAAGGAACCAATCTGAAAGAGCCCAAAGGGGCAAAAATATCATGATTCTCATAGCTGTTAAAGTAGCATCTGATATGTATAATGAACTTAGGCATCCAGGTTCAATGCCAAGTGCTCCATCTGATTTCTCTTAGTCAGTGCTCTCAACAAACCTGAAAGGTGGGTATTTTCATGTCCATTTTACAAATGAAACTACAGAGGCTTAGAGAGT